GTACTTAAGTATGAGATGCTTACAATAAAAACGTCGCTGCCGGGCAACTGTGCAAACGCATAACCAAAGGTCCGAAGACCAGCTTCACGAAAACTTTCTGTCTTATTATCAACTATTTTTTGTCAGAACGCGAAATTCGGATGAGCGCGAGATTTAATTTGCTTTCAAATCGTGTAACTACACTTTCAACTCACCCAAATTCCATTTCCACATTAACGAATGACCCGAATCGATCAAGTAAATCGTATCGTTAAGTTTCCCTGCATACTCAACGTGGGCGCCCACTGTAATTTGTACGACGATCTGCGGATTAAACCACTTACTAGTTGGAATGTTAAATCCCCACAGGTTCCTGCCAGACTCTTCAGTGCGATTACCAATGATATAAATGTTGTCTTTAGAGGATGTTAGGGCGAATTCGTCCATGTATGGCGGTGGAGCATCCTAGATGATGGATGATAGTCAAAAAATGAAATGTTATCATTAATAAGGTGCCTACAAACACTATAATCTATAGTCAACGCATCGATATCATTTTTTTATTACAGCATAATTCACCTCTGTTTCAGTTACATTCTCCAGCCTAGAATATTCTAGATTTAGAATAAAGGCATAATTCGACCCTCCAAAGATAAACAATACTTCTTCGCCGCCCGCTGACGTTTGTACGACAATTGACTTGTGACCACGTGGCAAATGTTGAAGTTTATTATCAGTGTTTGGCGGTGTATTAGTATACCAAATACCCGAAGTGCCTTTTGTTAAATCAAATGATTGGACTCCGGCATAATTATTATCGCTTGAGGCTGCTGCGTCGCCGGTTACGTATAAGATACCCTTTGACGTAACGGAACATGCTGGCCGATTGACGTTTACAGCGTTAGTTACCGGCAGATAATTCCATTTGAGATTTGTTTTATTGAAGGGCGTATTGATGTAACTGAAGTAGGAGTGGTTACCATTGCCCGTACCACCGAAGACGTAAAAACTATTCTCGTAGGCGAATGCGCAATGATCAACACGCGGTCCCGGATTGAAATAATCAAAATGAGGGATTTGCGAATTAGAAAAAATTGGGAAGGTGAGAAGAGTAAAAAGAATAAGGGGAAAGGAAGGAAAGGTGTTGGAATTATGCATGGTGAATGGGGAAATGGTGATAAAGCGAAATGATAAACTTTTGGCGAGTACACCCGGGAGGAATGAATGGATAATAAGAGAAAGAACCCCTACTCCAAGAAGGGGGAAAGGTTGATGGTGCTAAGATGATTTCATGTTGCTGGCGTCAAGAAGATATCATCGAGCATTTATGGACAAAATAACAAAAGTCGCGCACGGCCAAATTTGGAATCTACATTCCAAATTAAGTAATAATTGATTTGATTTTTATCACACGTTGTACTATCTGCTGTGTAAAGCAAAAGTGATTAAAGACAAGACCAACCAAGATAATAAATTAAATCGTTAAACCGGTTTTTACATAGTACGAGTGAGTTTCGCCATAGCTGCATGCTTCCGTTTCAGTTCACATGTCTTCATTGTACTATCGAGTCATTGTCAACTTGTGAAACGAAGCTTTAAATCAAACAAATTACTGTACATTTTTATTGGATAAACAGTTCGCACGATGGACAAAGACCAAATTCATAATAGCCAAGAATATCAAATTACCCAATTTAAGTAATTTTAAGATGAGCTGTCTTAACATGTCAATAACTTATATGGAAACTATTTTGATAATCTGAGAATTGTGCGGAGAATTTTCTCCGAAAGACAACATCGTTGTGTTGGCCACAATCTGTTGGCGCAGCACACACATTAGAATAAACATGCGGCACGCCTCAATTCTTTATTTCAACTTTTCGAAACGTGGGGAAATACTCGTACAATGTTGTTTCACGAACAGAATGGTCTCATTGATGCAATGGATCATTTTATGTCTGGGTGCAGTTTGCGGTAAATACGCAACTTGGCAAATTTTGCTGCGTGCCGATTAAAACTATAGTTAGACATCTTACTTACAAAAAATAATCGTAATTTAAACCGTTAATATTAATATGGCATAGTGTTGCACATTCTGTATACAATATCATATATTTTACAGTCAAACAAACGTACTAGAATAAAACTACGCGCGATACAAAATATTATTGAATGAGCAAGACAATATTAATTTAGAACAGCGAAAGCCATGCTGTGATACTTGTGCCATTTTTTACTTGACAATCGAGGACATAATTTTGCTATCCAGAAATTTAATATTCTTGCTTGCGGATTAGTTTAAACTGATTAACACACACGCATTGACATGTGACAGTAATATTGTACGTGTAAGATGGGAGACGATCATAACGCCGAAAATCATTTCACCGACGTAAGATTTCACCGACAATCATTTCACCGAAAATCATTTCGCCGACAATCATTTCGCCGACAACACTACCAAAAAAGGATAATTTCGAAATAATGTTGGTGAATATGTCGGTGAAATGATTGTCGGTGAAATGATTGTCGACGAAATGATTGTCGGTGAAATATTACGTCGGTGAAATAATTTTCGGTGAAATGATACGGACCCGTGTAAGATAGTCTCATATCATCATATTGAACGCAAGTAAATTTCGAAAGAAACAATACCATAATAGTAAAACAAACGTACCTTGAAAGGCAATTCTAAAAGACCATTGCATTGGTTTTTTACGATTCGTGTAAACTTAGCAAAGTTTTAATACAATCACGTTACAATTACTGTTCTTGGACAATCCCGTAATGTAATGTATGACGACATAAATTAAGATGTGGCTTTGCTGAGAAAGACCACAGAAACATTGTCACATCTAAACCTTTACGAGCTGTTTGTTCGGATTTTCCGTCAATTATTAAGGTAGTCAAATTAAACGTCTTATAGAAAAACGAAAACCGTCACTTTAATCTAAAGTTTATTAGTATTAATCTGCAATTTTTATAATATATTACTTTAGTTAATTTTTTCATGGTTTTGATAAACAGTTTTGCGCGCTTATTAATTAAACCAAAAGTTTAAAATTCCAGGTTTATGTTGGTGTACATATTTGTATTGTTATTCAAACTCAACTCACATTAATCCACCAGATGTGTCAATACGTCTACGCGTTTAATGACAACCGTTTGGCTTGCAAATTGTACTCCGCCGGCAGTTTGAAATACTCCAAAACAGAAGTCTTTTTTTGCGCGTTATAATTGATTATTTAGCCAAAAAAATACCATAATTTGGTTAATGCTCACTGAGCACGTAGGTGTATGTAAAGTGACATGACCAAATAATATGCTAAAAAAATGTATACTATGCGTAATAAATTAAACTATAATATAAACAAAAATAACGTAAACTAACATGGAAATTTAAGCCAAGCGAAAGAAATCGGGACATACGGTTTAATGAAGCATCAGAAAATAGAAATGAGTGATGCATACAAGTGAGAGCAGATCTTGTGCATGTGACATATCAATATGATAAAAACAAGACTCACATTGTAGCTCATGTCTGTGTAAAGAATATCCAAGTAGGTCAAGATTTATAAGTGGCACGTCAATATTTTTGTGGCCCGCTTCGGTTATGCCATACTTAAAAGACGACGGGGGTTATCCAAGAATAATAATAGATATTGAGATTGTTACACTGCTTTCTTTGTTCTAAATTTCCATAAATGGTAAAAGACCAATGCAACGGTCTTTCATAATTACTTTTTAGAGTACGTTTATTTTACTATTGTGGTATTGTCCTTATCTTCGAAATTACTTGGTTCAATGTAATGATATGAGACTATCCCACATGTATAGTACATACTATTGTCACATGTCAATGTGTGTTGATCAGTTTAAATTAATCTGCAAGCCATAATTTTGACTAGTCAACTATACAACTGTAAATTGAATAAATGTAAATTAACATTGTTCGTAGTCAACCAATGCAATCAATGGTCTTTCGTATCTATACAAATTATCTGTAGATTGTTAACCGGTTTAAACTGCGTATGCTGCTGCAAAAATCGGGCTTTGATTGTTTATCTAAAATGTTGCCATTGCATCAACTTTGAGCCATTCAGTCTGTGAACGAAAGCTGTTCGTTGTCATAAAAGTGTTTCGAACGAGCCCCAAAATAATCATGTAATAGGTGCTCTAATGAATTGTGGCAAAGTTAAAAATAATAATAGTAAAGGTTTTATTCAGTTCCGTGGAATTCTCAGATTGCCAAAACGCCCCATTATAAATTACTTACTATTAAATTTGGGATGTACCCCCTTAAATCGGGCAAAATCTAAAGTGACACGATCGTCAGTGGTATTCTCGGCTATTGAATATCAAATTGTTCGTTACCCATTATTAATTCAATGCTTACCTAGACAAATGGGTTCTCATCAAAAAACTGCGCTGCACGCACAACTTTACTTTCTTGTTCACAATTACAAGTAATATTTAGATAAAGAACCGGTATAATTAGGCTCCATCGTTCCCAAAAGCTCCGTTCCCGCTCGGTAAGAGTGATACCGCGAGCTCCGGGTCCCTTCTCCCTCTTCAATGTCTCAGTTTCTTTCTCCCGGAGCTGTACGGGTTTATCGTGTTCCAAATGGGGCACTACGACTTCCTACAACTGCGAGAGATCGGGAGTGGTAGTGCATGCGTCAGATAAGAGAACGTATATTGTAAGTAGATAGATAAAACAGGCTATTGTTGCGAGTAAACTTTTCTCGCAATAATCAAGTGTTTGTGCTGTGACGATGTTTTGTAGCATCAAAAGTGTCTCAACAAACAAACCACTTGCGTTTATGTCATACATTAAATTAGGGGAACGGGAGTAATAATGAAATTACCACATCGCTCTTTGTTCTAAATTTACATAAATTGGAAGAAACGTCATTCAACCAATGGGGTTTTCCGTAACTGCTTTGAGTACATTTATTTTACTATTAGCATTAATGTTATCTTCCAAAACGCCACTTACGTTAAATGTAAGACGTAAACCATCTCACATGTATAATGCAATATTACTGTGTTAGCCGGTTTAAATCAAGTGTTTCTTGTGTTGTGCAAGCAAATGATCGAAATTTTGACTATGTCCGCATTGACTGCAAGTCATCGATGCATATTACTCCTGGTATTAGAAATAACACAAATGAATATAGTGACAGAATCAAATAAATTGATATAACGCTTATTATCAAAAGCTTCGTGAGGAATGGGATAATCACCCCCTTCGCTCCGTGATCTATTGATTGGTCTTTATTTAATAACACCTAAGATGGCAAGTCTATTGTGATACGATGCAAGCTGAATCTAGAAATCATCAACCGTTCGAATGAGAAATAGCTAGTAAACCAATACGGTAACCGAATACAAGAACATGGATTTCGTATAGAAACTGGCATTAATTCAAGTCAAGACCTAAAGAACAATAACAAGTTGAAGAATTTTTTAAAAAAAAAAAATTTCGGAAAAGTTAACAATGAAAATCCTACCGTTGTTCCCGAGATAAAAGCAATGCAGAAAATGTAAAAGAATTCGAAACCCAAGAAAAATAAAACGTCCAAGACGTAATGAAGAGTCTCATTAGTGTTACTACATCAGATTATTCAAGAAATATGCTAATTTGTATAACAAGGACGCAAACAAAGATTGGTGTGTTCTCTTTCAACGCATAGGATGAACAGATAATCTTCGTCCATTATACTAATATGTCTATGGAAGATTGCGTATCTCAAGTCAATTATCGAATGATCTAATTGTACCACGTTAATTTAAATAAACTGATGTATAAATTCCTTTAAAGCAAGACCACATTCCCTGCACAAGAAGGTAACGTTACATGCGATAAACAAACAATCCGGTTTTGGGATTCACATTCCAATTTTGGTTTCTCCGCGCAACCTCTGTTCGTTTTCCATAAATATTCAACTGCATCCCGTCCTAGTCCTGCAGTATCAACAGACATTCCTTTAATCTCTCCTTAGATAATTCCCATTAAACCCGGGCTAACCCCCCGCCCCTCTTTCAAAAAATTACCCTCTTTTGTCCTCCACCATGCATAATTCTCCCGTTTTCCTTCTCGTCCTTTTCATCGTCCTCATTTTTCCCACCTCTTCCACCTCTCAAATCTTAGTTCCTCAACCGCACGTTGATCACTGTGTATTCACTTACCAAAACCGTTTTTACATATACAGTGATTCCTACTTAAAATATATCCATATACCTTTTTCTGTTAACATGCTCAATTGGACCGCAATTAACGCCACAGAAATCGACCAACCGGCGTGTTTTATTACATCAGATGGAATTTTATATGTGACAGACAGAGCAAATCGTGACTTAGGTTCCAGTTTCCAAGCACTTGATCTGAACGAAAAAAAAAATCACCTTTGGCGTACTGTCACTGAAGTAGACGGAATAGAAACTGATAATTTGTCATTTACGAAGTTCATTGTTGTACAAACCTCAGAGGGTAAAGAGGTGTCGCTTATTTTTGAAGGGTTTCAGTCGAGCAATGAGCCGCCTATAGAGAACTCGACTTGGGAAGCTGTATCCAAACGGGTAAGTATGGAAATAATAATAAAATGAGGGATTCAAAAGAAAAAGTTAAGAATGTACTGAGGCTAATTTTCTAATTTTCTTCTCTCACTCCTAACCAGAATGGGACTAACATACCAAACCAGCAATTTACGTTTGCACGATTGGCCCATAGCGATGTTTTCATTGTAAGCTAGTTATATTAAAGAAGCGCATACTATAATACGTAATTGTAATTAATTTAGTTCTACCAAATTTTTATATCTGATTTAAGACTTATTACGGAAATGATAGCATAGCCGCATTCAACACAACCCAAGATGCTTGGGTTACTCAAGTCAATAACGTAACTAATGCAATCAACGGTCAGTTCTTCGTTGTACTTGCCAACGAACTCATCAAGGAACCCATCAGCATACCCGTAAATGAACCAATCAGCGCACCGATCGACCAACCCATCACCATAGCTGCTGCCAGCGGACCCACCAACGAATCCGACAACGGACCCACTAACGAATCACCCAACAACATCGGGCCCACTAACGACTCAAGAAACAACGGATTCAGTGATAGCAACCCCGGACCAAAGTCTTTTCTTCAAGGAGTGTGGCTCGCCTGGAGCGCCAGCAACGGACCCGATAATGGACCCAAAAGCAACCCCGGACCAAAGTCTTTTCTTCAAGGAGTGTGGCTCGCCTGGAGCGCCAGCAACGGACCCGATAATGGACCCAAAAGCAACCCCGCAAATTCTTTTCTTCAAGGCGTGTCGCTCACCTGGGGCCCCAGCAACGGATCCAACAATGGACCCGATAATGGACCCAAAACCAACCCCGGATCAAATTCTTTTCTTCAAGGCGTGTCGCTCACCTGGGGCCCCAGCAACGGATCCAACAATGGACCCAAAACCAACCCCGGACCAAAATCTTCTCTCCGAGAGGTGTTACCGACAATTATTACTAGTGGAATTTGAATACTAGTGGTTTTAGTATTCACAGTTTTGGGCTTGTTGCATGGCCGGATCAGAAGTGAGGGAAACGATGAGGAATTGTCAATCGTGGAAACAGGAACAATAGTATCTTTTGATTTCCCAACATCTCCAACTTCACATTATACGGTGGAACTGAACTCCACTCCCCCTCCACCATCGCGACTTATAAACTGGCTCTATACTCGATATAAAGTGAAACCTAGCACATTCACTGCTTCATCCACCTCTTTGATACTTCCATCAGCTCCATCAGGTACGATTATATTCAAGTACAAACTCAGCGGGAGGCCAACGTACGGCGTCAACAATGCTGTTCGTCGTGCAGAGGGTGAGACTGTGGGTCAAAACTTGGCCGTAAAGTTTTTCAAAAAAAAAGATTCATTCGAACGTGAGGTTGTCATGCTGAAGTATCTTCAATCGGAATTTGTTTGTGCATTGCGGGATGTATTCGATATTTCCAATCCCACTGATTGGAAATATGTTACGGTCATGGACTACTATCCTAAGAGCTTGGATAACTTTATCGTTAGCCGTACCGAGACTATGACTGAAGTATATGTGAGCGCAGTGGTACAGTCATTAGCAAAAGCAATCAAGTATGTTCATGATCACAGAATAGTGCATCTGGACATTAAACCGGGAAACTTTGTCCACGAGGTTGGAGATTCGAGCAAGTGGAGATTGATTGATTTTGAGGCGGCGAGGGTTGATGGAGAAGAAGATGTTGATAGCACCACATTAAGATATGCTTCACGTAAGTAGTGAGATATATGGAGATGTCATAATTGTATTCTTTAACATACAAACTTATCATTTCTCTCTCCACCTAGCTGAGATAATTAATGCGGTTACATTGCGCACTAGTATTAAAGCAAGTAAGTCGATGGATATGTGGTCGTTAGGGTGTACAATTTACGAAGCATATACTGGAAGTCCTCTCTTTCCGAATGAGGAAGAGGCTTCTTTTAAATTATCTGAAGCATACAACACAGAGTACTTGGAATTACCTCTTGATAACGTGAAGGATATTCAAGCGAGGCACGTGCTTGAAAAATTGTTAGTCATTGACCCTACGAAGAGAGCTAAAGTTGATGAAATTTTGAGCATATTTGAATGACGGACCCGACAGTATTCAGGTATATACATGCTGTTGTCTGTTACCGAACGCTACCTTGTGCAAACACTCAATTCATATGTTTTATTATGCTGATTTAGAGATATACAATCTGCAGTCAGAATCCCGCTGAGGAAATCGAACATACTAAACTGGAATACGAGCGTTGCCCATTCCGACGCGCCAGAAAGCCCACTAATATGATATCATCCCAGTTCGATGTGGTTGTGAGTAGTAAATCTGATGCTAGAGGGATGCGCTCTCTCCTGAATGTTTATGTCATTACCCAGAAAAAAAAAACGGTTTGTAAAGGTCTTAACTGACCACTGACCATATAGCAAACACATTTCACTGACCATCTTGGTTGCGAGATATATTTTATTCAATGACGTTTCGATATTTCAAAAAAAAAAAAAGAAAAAAGAAAAAAAGAAAAGCAAACTAGAAACGGATGGTTTGCTACAGTACAGAATGAACCACTCAATAAATAATTTGCGCAGGTTCTACACTGTGGATTTAAAACGTTTCTAGCTAATATTTATTACAACGGTGATGGTGAAATTTGTAATAATTGCGCGCTATTCACACATAGAAATCACGAGTTTACAATTCATAAAGATTTGATGCAGCTAATATGACGGCAGAATGTAAGGAAAGAAAGAAAAGACGCGTTCGTAAACATGCATGGAAAATTCAAAGAAAAATGCTTTATACGTAAAAGAGGTTTTTTGTATATAGGGCATTATTTTGTACTGTTAGAATATCGTTTTGATAGCCTTCAATTGTAGGTTTAGACAGTAAGAGAATTGTAATCAAGCTTTCTACGATATCATTAGTGCATCCCAGAAGTCATAGTAATAGCAGTAGTGTTGAACAATTTAATTGACTCACTGTAGAATGTATGTCAACATACATATTTATAAACACACATCTTGCAAAGCAGTGATTGTCACTGCTTTAAACAAGTATTGAAAGTTCGTTCTAGCAAGTCGTGTCTCATTGATATAATTGTTTTCACTACTATCTGGGTTTCCTTTGCGGTATAATTGATCCCACAGCCCCAACTTTATCATGCGAACATATGAATAAAGTTATCATTTCTTTCTTCGGAAAGAGCTTAACATTGTCGTTTTTTGCTGGTAGTACGATTATGATCGCTATGGGAACATTAGTATTAGTATGACGACCACACAAATGTTTTGTCAGAAACTTTCGTCCGGCTATCAGTCGTCGTTTATACCCATCTTCGTACTTTGCAAAATGTCTGTGCAAATCAAACCTCGTATTTTGCTTACAAAAACTCTCTCAGAAGACGCGCAAAAGAGGATAGAAAGTTTCGACGACATTGAGCTAATACATTGGAAGGATAGTAGTGTCATCCCTCGTAGTGAACTGTTGAAACTAGTGAAAGGTAAGAAATGACAGAAATCATAAAGAAGGATAAGGGAAGAACAAGGAAAAGAGCGAAACGTAAGTGAGAATTAGGAATCGAAGTAATTTTCTTTTTCTCGGAAATTGGTGTAATTAATTAGAAATCGTCATCAGTCAAAATTGTCAAATCAAAGTGCTTTTGGTTTTTTTTCAGGCGTCGACGGCTTGATATGCACGGTCACTAACAAGATCGATGAAGAAGTGATTGAGACAGCTGGAGATCAACTAAAAGTTGTGTCTACGATGTCAGGTAGCATTAATATTATCGTTGACGTATGTTATTATCTTTTGTCTCATCCCACCGCATCAATGCTTTCCCCATCGTTACTTGAAATCCCTTCTGCTAAACAAAAGCTGGATATGACCACATTTCTATCCCTGCTCTCAAATCTCGCTCCATTCCTCTTGGCCACACGCCAGATGTCTTCACCGACGCAGTGGCGGATCTAGCTGTCCTCTTGGTGCTCGCAGCTGCCCGTCGTCTTCGTGAAGGCATCTCCGCTGTCTATAACGGTGACTGGAAATTATGGTGTCCAACACGGCTTCTCGGGTGCCAACTCACCGATAAAACCATTGGAATAATTGGTTTGGGAAGAATAGGGTTGGCTACAGCAAAGAGGTTGAAACCATTTCTGGGTAGCAGCGGAAGGATAATATATGCGGGTAGAACTGTGAAGAAGGAAGCAGAAGAAGTCGATGCAAAAAAAGTAGAATTTGATGTTTTAATTAAAGAGGCAGATGTCGTGATTATTTCATGTTTTCTGACCGAAGAGACGCGTGGGATGTTCGACTACGAAGTCTTCAAAAAGATGAAGAACAGCGTAGTATGTTTAATTCGATAATTTATGTTATGGGTGTCGCTTGGAAATTGTACTTTGTAGTTGCTACTCACTTCCATTGGCTATTTGTATTCTTACCCTAATGTAGATTTTAGTGAACGTAGCCAGAGGGAGTGTGATTAACCAGCCTGATCTGGTGCGTGCACTGTCTGAGAACCGGCTGGGTGCTGTTGCATTGGATGTAACTACACCTGAACCACTTAGTCCCGATGACCCGTTGTTAAAGTTTGAGAACGTAACGGTAATGCCTCATATTGGTTATGCGACAGCAGAAGCAAAAGCAGCTCAGGGGAATATTGTTATTGACAACCTATTAGCAGGAATCAAAGGGGAGAAGTTACCATATCGAGTGGAGTTTGATTAACCTGGCAGCATTAACTTCACTTGCACGTGGAGAGATATTAGATTTTTAGTCGAGAATTTATGTTCGTTTACGCATAGTAATTCACAGATATTTTTAAGAACAAGAATCATTCAGAATTTATTGAACAGAATATTAAACGGCTAGGCTGTCAATATTGATGCAGATAAAAGTCAACCTATCTTGTAGTCTCAAGGCTCACTATCCAATGAATACAAATTATACGCCTTATGAATTTGTCTTTAAGCAAAAATCAAGAGCAAATTTGAGATTGACAACTGAATCATGTCTATGATAAAATGTTCTTTACAAGAGTTGCATAAGGTTTCGTGCTTGACCTGATATTTGTTATAGTCACGGTGCATATCGTTTGGCTGCTCCCCGATAACATAAGGTAATTCCCGTGCACTCTGAATCGGTATTAAAGTCTCGATGGCTTTAATAATCTGTGGCTCCCTTAACGTGACGTAATTTAGTAAATCCCCCACGAATTAAAGCGTTAACATATAAACGGCTTTGGGACTTTAAACGTGCATTTCTCAAAAGACAATATACCATTCGGCTGCTCGGCCAAAAGGAACCGAAACATCATTATCATTACTGTAAATAATTTGATTTTCGTAAAACATTCTTAACAAGCGAAGCGATGAAGTAAATCCAAAATTAAAACGAACTAATCTTAATCAAACGAAAGTCTTTACGCGAACGGAACTATGTTGTACGTGCATTATATAGTATAATCACTAACTCATATTACGCGTCACTATAAATAAATTATGTGCCATACCTTATTTACATATTTATCAACAAATTAGGCAGAAAGATATTATATTCGACGTTAATTGCAATCTTATCATCCCCATCTACGGTGAGTTAACGATTTTGTTACTAGCTAATAGATGCATTAATTATAAAGAAAGCATTGTATCTATATTAATATAGAGGCTGTATAAAATGACACAACGCAAAAGAAGTTATGTCTGACACCATGGATTAGTTAGAATATAGCCATTAGTTCGAATATAGTCATAATTAGCTAATACGCAACGGGTAAATCTCACGTACCAGTAAAAACGCGGATGTATCAAAAACGCAACCTAAATTTGGTGTGCTTGCCGATCTAAATTTTTGCAGCGCGCAAGATGCGCAGCTAACACATGGGAAATTTGCGTTCTTCATTGATTGCACCTACGAGTGAACGCTAAAGGTGCACACTGCATCAACAACATATAAATAAATAATTTATACGTTCTAAACATGGACCAACTCGCCATCGCTCGTCAATACTGGAGAAAAATATCCTGATGCCGATGACGACGACATTAGGCTGGAACTATCAGAAATTCCTTAAGAACAAGAAGGCAAGCAAGTAATGAACACGTTATTGGGAGGATAATTAGAACGTATCAACGCTATTGCAAGAGAGGCAGTCTGGATGTTATTAGTTGGGGCAGAGCAGAGTCGTGGTAGATCTGGATGATGCTAATACGAAAACGAGACAAGAAACAGTATGGGTTAGTAGAGGAGCAGTGGAGAGAGGATAGTCTGTCACATGTTTATTAGGAGCATAATCGGATGCTGTTCTAGTTACAATGTCAGAATGGAGAACAAGACTTTGAATGATATGCCATTCCATAATAATGCTTTTTTTTTTTGCAACAATTAATAACGTAATTTTTTCCCCTTCTTTTTCTTCTATGGTTATGTTGAAAGGTTGAGCGTCAGACGAAGAGGGCCCCCCGCGAATGAAGTGCGATCCACCCCTGCGAAATGAATGAACACGGTCCCCCATTCCCGCGAAATAAATGAATGCGGTTTTTATACGTGCTGACTACAAGGATGTTGGGTTGCTTTGGCGGGTTTCCGGAATATTTGGAAGCATGCGGATGCCGATGGAGTAAAGATGAGGACATATATATATGATACAATGCATCGGTAATGTCTTTATTATTATTATATTGCTCTATATCACTTGGTTAAAAATATATTTTTATATGCATAACATTAAGTGAATTTTCGCTTAATGAAAAATATCGTTACAAAACCTCACAGATCAAATCCGCCCGATTGCCATTTTTATTTGCTGAAATTGCAGAATTTTTGAACTGTTATATGCTTTAATAGTGAGTATTTCTCATGTATATTAATATGTAAATTTCATCAATGTAACGAATGTAACGATAAATTAAATCTTTAGGATGGGCTTGAAAATCAAACACGAATTAAGGTTATCGATCATGTGCCTAAAGTTCGAGACTGGCTTAGGTTCCGGACAGGACAATATTCCAGATGGGAAAAACGCGTTTGCTACAACAATTTGTGGAAGCTGGGAGCATGCTGCTTTATATTAATGTCAATGATCCAGCATGTGGATCATATGCATGACCACATTATGGATTACTACTAGTTGATAGTCAATAACGGGGTACGAATCAACATTTAGAATTTGTCAATACTAACTACCGTGAATAAGTTATCATAGCGAGAGGTGCTTATTCACGATAGAATCGTCAACTCTTGTCGAATGATGGGGAAATTATTACGTAAAGTATAATCCTAGAAGCGTACTGCTATTTTGTATACTCACGTAATGAACTGTGAATGTGGTAGTATACGGTATACACGTACGTACGCTTTATCGAATTTACAATTATTATTTTTTGCAGATCAAACGTTGAAATGTTATATTTCTCAAAAGTTTCGACCAACATTCCTCAAGCACGAAGTTGGCTACGAGCGTCGGTACTATAAATCTCCAGCTTGAAGTTCGTAATAATATGACAACATTTGTAGTACGGGCCAGGCAATATAATACAACTTGCAGAAGCTGATATACAAGTCCGTCACAATTCTGATAAAAAAAATCTTCATGGAAGAACAAAGAAGGCAAAATTGGCTCGAAAGTATCTATTGTCAGCGAACTAGATTTATCTAACAAGCTCTATTTAGAGCTTCACAACTTTGACTTTTTATGTCTCCTCAAATTGCTCCGACCAATCAAATATTCATGACCACGCGACCCCAACCCTTTGTCAGAAAAAGGACACTCATGTACAAATCACTTTTTGACAATTTGAAAACCACCAACCCTCCCGCAAAACAAAGTCGAACTGATAATACCATGAATCCAACATCTTCTCTTAAAAGCCAAGAACACTGATTCTGTGACTACAATTGAGAGTAATTGTGATTTACCAAAAAGCCATTAAGGCAAGAAAAAAAAAGTAAAGCGCCCAAATAGACAATTACGTTCAAATATGTCAAACTAAATGCAGACTTAGCATCAACAAAACTAAACTTACCCCCGCATAAAGAGTTATAACCACTTTTTTATATGTCAAACGTTATCTTTTTTCCTGACTAAATGGTAGTATAGACGTAAAAGATGACGTATTCCTCCGAAATTTCCGCTCAGTTATACGACCTACAGTCGAGATAAAATAAATATCAACGAAATAGCGTATACGATACGAGATATTCGTAATTATTCAAGAATTAGCACTAGTAAGATTACCGGTTGACTCCGTTGGAAGACGCTAAATCTCAAAAAGGTTGCTCTCCTACGTGTAACGTCACGACAGTATACTGTATAAAATAAAATCAATAAACACTAAACTTAATGATTGCTGTTATAACGTAGACAAAAATTATTGCTATCGTAAATTACAGTGACTTACGCTTATCAGCAACAAAGCACACAAGGGGCGAATTAAAATTTTGTTCTAGTGATTAATAGGCGAAATAATGAAAATAATTATGTAATGCATGGCGATCATCATAGCGGTAATGGAAACAATTATGTAATGCATGGTATTCTTAGATGAAGAAACACGAAAATTATGAATAAAAGAAAAAAACACAAAAGCATACGCAAATAAGGATGACTTAAAATTATTTTTATTTTACGAAAAAAAAAAAATCAATAATCGTAGTTATTTTCATTTAATGGGAGTATTGTTTAAAAAAAGCATTGGCTAAAGTCGCAAGTAACGAAGAAATTTTAAAACAGTGACAGTATGTGCATAGGAGACAGCGATGAAAATGTAATTAGCGTTAATAATTCTACTTTAATTATATTGACCACAACAAATAAAGGAGTAATTATGCATGCCGCTATTAACTAGTAGTTAATCTATTGTAAGTGCATAGAATTTCAAAAGTGTATACTGAAAATATAAATCCATTTCAAGCCTTTTTTGATCCAAAATAAAATATTTCGTTAATGAGTATCAGCGTCTGTCTACGTCTATGAGGAAAAGACTTCTAACTACTAAGACGTGGTAAATGAATCAGAGGTAAATAACTTTTAAATATTATATTATAAATTTCGGTCAAACTCAAACATGGGAATGTTCAAATTGACATAATTTCACTGTAATAGTAAATAACTTGTACTAGTATGTTGGAAAACGTTTTATTCAGACAGATAAACGAGTCAGAAAAGAAACAACACTGCATACCTGTTTTCAGATGTCAATCATTGAAATCGCGCTTACAATAATTGATTTTGTCGCATACTTTTGACTATCGAGTTGCAGCTATACGAAATGCGAATCAAACTCAATAGATGTGCCAGGGTTAGTCTTTTACAACAGCAAGTCAAAAACTGTAAGAAACCATTTGTTAGTGCGTCTCTCGACTAGTGGCGGAGACCAACGTGTTTGTATGTCCAATTTGTCTCTATCGTTACTGTAAGCGATTTAATATGTGGAAAGTTTGACCAAAAAAATTTTTCTTTACAATATAACATTAACGTGGGTCGATTCCGACTGGGGCTTTGCTGTTCACAGGCAATAAATTGCGTCGATGCGGACTATTAGTCAAATAATAAATTATACCGCGTAAAGCCGGTGTAATAAGTTAACATGTCAATTGCTTTTAGACATATTTTGGTTAAATCAATTATACAATCGATGAACTGAAGTATTACATACACAACGAAGCGTTAGCTGCTGGAAGATGAAGGCACTAATATAATTATTTATTAATAACTGAGTATAGTTAGCAAAATCTACAATAGAGCGGCACTATAAGTGTCCAAATGTCAAATGTTCGGTTATAAATGTCAATGAAAACCAATTACTGTATCTATTACACGTTAATTGTTATAATATATCAATGTTCATGATTTCCTCGTAATAAGAACTTTTCCTTGCAACTCTTACAAACCCATCTCCGGTGTCCATCGTTCATGGTAATACTACTCAATCCACCATATTCGCGCGAACGATCATTCTTATCCAAGAACGCTTTAAATTCACGCAGTGCAGGACCCTGCGCACATCTCATGCGATCGAGTGGATCTTCTAGGCCAGCCAGATCATTTGCAAAAGACTCATCCGTTTTGAATTCGTTAACAATTTCGCTTACGCTTTTGAAGAATTCCTTAGAGTTAAGCAGTAATCTGAAGTCGCCACCTATACCATGCAGGAATTGCAGCGCTGGAAAGAAACTAGCAACTTTCATGAGCTTGGCCAAGATATTAAGGTATGGCCCAGCCTTGGCAAGAAACTGTTCCGGATGATATAACTGTAACAAAGATATATCAATATTGTTAATAGACGTGAATTATATTGAGTACATCGCATTTGACATGTCATTGGACAAAATATACCTCGTAACCAGGATGGTCAGTGAAGTGGGCTTCCTTGTTGTTAGCGGCAAGACCTTCACAAAGAATGCGGATTACAAATTTTTTCCTTCCCCAAGTGTTTGGTTTAAAAATTTTGCCAGACACCTCCCCTGGTAATAATATGAATAGTCGGGGCACTTTCGCATCTGTAACATCAGATATACTATTCACAATCTTATTAGTAGCCTCTTGCACGCAGGAAACAACAATGTTCGTATTCTTGTTTATGATCTCCTCGTTAACTTCTGCCCGTATATTGCGTATCTTTAAGTTAATATAAAACAAGGTTAGTGTTTGTACGCTGCCCGCAACTGATAACAGCGATCAATAATAGAACTGATTATACATACCTGAACACTATCGGCACCACCAGTCAAATACGCCCCTCTTAAAATTTCCTCAATTGAAGCTCTCTCTGTAGGATTAATAGCTAACAATTTCTTGAGCACGTGTCGTGCTTGAGGATCCGATACGTTTTTAGAGGGAAATTCAAAGTGCTGCATGCAACCTGTGTCAAGTAATGCAGTTCTAGTCTCATCATCATTTATGAACAGAGGTTTTCCGGCAAACAATTCATATATCGTACACCCAAATGACCACATGTCCATCGAAGTATCTGCTTTAATATTAGTACGCTGTTTGCTCGCTTTGATTAGTTCAGCTATATTAGAAAGAAAAAAAATGTCAGCATGCTATGAAATTAAAAATTCTTTCAAAGACTTGATAGTATTTATAGGAACTGCTCGGTGTGCATTACTTACGCGGAGCATATCTTAATGTGCTGCTACTAACGTTTTCTTCTCTATCGACTTTCGCTGACTCAAAATCGATCAATCTCCACTTGTTCTCAATTCCATCCTCGCGTACAAAGTTTCCCGGTTGAATGTCCAGGTGCACTATTCCCTTGTCATGAACGTATTCTATAGCTTGAGCTAATGATTGTACTATCACTCTTATGTTTAATCTGTTAATTTTATCCCTTCTTTTAAGAATAAAGACATCCAAGCTCATAGGATAGTAGTCCATAATCGTAACATATTTCCAATCAACAGCATTGGAGACGTGGTATATGTCATGCAACTCACCAACAAATGGCGATCGAAGAGACTTTAACATCGTAACCTCGTTTTTGAATGAATCATAGTCTGAGAAAAATTTTATCGCCACGTCTTTGCTTACACTCACGTTCTCTGCGTACCGAACGGATTTGCTGACATCGAATTCTGGTTTCCCTTTGAGCTTGTACCGGTTAAATAGAATAGTACCATCTAAAGCTGATGGAGAAACCGAAGAGGTAGATGGAGATTCAAATACAATGGGGACCACTTCTTGAGTACGGAGCTCGTTTGCACGTGACGTGGGGGGAGTAGAGTTCAGTTTCACCGTATGATATGATGGCGGAGTGGAGAGAGTAGGGTTCAATTTCTCTGCATGATATGATGGCGGAATGGAGAGAGTAGGGTTCAATTTCTCTGCATGATATGACGATGGAGTGATGGGAATAGAGTTCAGTTTCTCTGCATGATATGACGATGGAGTGATGGGAATAGAGTTCAGTTTCTCTGCGTGTGACGATGGAGTGATGGGAGTAGAGTTCAGTTTCTCTGCGTAATGTGACGATGGAGTGATGGGAGTAGAGTTCAGTTTCTCTGCATAATGTGACGATGGAGTGATGGGAGTAGAGTTCAGTTTCTCTGCGTGATGTGACGATGGAGTGATGGGAGTAGAGCTCAGTTTCTCTGCGTGATGTGACGATGGAGTGATGGGAGTAGAGTTCAGTTTCTCTGTATGATGTAAAGCTGTAGACGTGTTAAAGTCGGG